CTGCTGCAATGCAACCTGAGCCCTGCCACATGCACAATGGAGGACCTTCTTGCAGCAACACCAGAAGCACTCCAAGTGGCCAGATACTGGTCAAAGGACATTTAACCAACTACCAAACTCACAAGTTTTGTATTTTTCTATTTGTTTGCTCTGTTCTGTTAGAAATGTAATATAATGGACTGGTTGCTCTGACACGACAAATAAATAAATAAAATAAATCTGTCCCCCCATCCAATTTTGTAGCATCCAAAAAAATTGATAACGATTCTCTCCAATCCACCACTTTAGTGATTGATAAAAATATGGAAGAGTGGTGAAAAATTGTATGATTTTAAGAGTCTTAATTTGAATATAAATAAACAAATAGAAATACAATCCACACCAATTTGTATTAGCATTGGAATAGTCTAAACTAACGGAAAGTAGTACTCTTGCTTTTAAAAAAACCCCTCTGAGTTTGTTTTTATAAAAAATGAGGTTTCCAAGCATTATCTGGAGATACTAGCAAACTGGGATTTTCTGTTTGCAACACTTTCTCTAGTGTGATGATCCGCTGTACTTTTGAAATTCTGGCATTCCTTAAAATGAACGTTTAGTGTCCTCAGGAGACCTAACATGGACTTGCTGTAAAGCTGTTTTCTGTGTTAGTCTTTTCAATCATAATTTGAAAGCATGGTTCCAAGATTAATATGTATTCAAATGTCATTCTTTTTGTTTGTGTGTTTGTTTGTTTTAGTGAAGGTCAACCCCATTGTTCGCCCCTTCTGAGTTTCCCCTCAGACACATTACGCCGTTTAGTCATCTCACCCAGGGTTTTATAAATTTGCATGCCAACCGTGCTCTAATTTCTCTACCATTTTATTTTGCATTGTTTTATTGTATATTTTGTTATTGTTTTGCATTGATTTTATTATTTGCTTGTTTGTATTTTATTTTGCTTGATTGTAATTCTTGAGCTTGGCCTCTTGTTAGCCACCCTCAGTACCTTTTGGAAAGATGGTGGCGGAGTATAAATAAAGATTATTAGTATTATTATTATTTTTCAGAAATCTGCAAATTTCTTTACATTCAGCATTTGGAAGTTTTTGAGAATTAAAAAACACAAGTGTGGGAGAAACAGACAGATTTCTCAATCTTTATTCAAACGTTGGAATCTTAAGAGGGGATCATAAGAGGGCCCACAATCTTGGTTGAGATTATTTGTCAGTAGATACCATCGCTTGCAGTTTCTCAGGTTGCTCCTGACACGACAAAAAAAGAAAGAAAGAAAGAAAGAAAGAAGTAGATACCATGGCAGCTCGATGGAAATTTCATGTTGAGGAGTAGATAGAGCTCTTGATGTAACTAGCATGTTGAAAAAAAATAGCATCCATTGCCTCACATCCTGTTAGTGCACTTTTAAAACATGTATGGTTTTCCCATCATCTGGAAGCATTAGTTTTTGGATTACAGCTCTCAGAATCCTCAAGACAACATGGCCCAATTTTATTTTGGAAGTGGGGAAAACTGAGGGTTATAGTTTTAAAAATTAACAAGCTGTAGCTACTGCTGTAGTCTTCCATGTAGTCTTACTCTCAAGTTTCTGTTACTATTTAGACTAAGGAGGAAGCAACCATGAACCACAAAATCTGACTTAACTGGAAAGCAGAACTAAACATGCCAATGGCTCCTTTTCTTTTCTTGGCACCAAGGGGTAAAATGCATTCTTTTTTCTTTCTTTTTCCTGTATATTATTGATTGTCCAGTGCTGAAACCTCTGCATACCTCACCGGATCCTCTGAAGGATGCCAGTCACAGATGCAGGTGAAACGTTGGGGGAAAATCCTGCCAGAACACCTTCAAACCAGTTCTTTGGCACCAGAGGAAGGCTTTGTGCCTTCAAAATATAGGCCATTGGAATTGGGGTTGTGATTATTCCGATATTCACAGCCATTGAGAAAGAGGCACCTGGAAAAGCTTCTCAGCTGCAAAACTCCTTGGATCCAAGACAACCAGAGACTGTAATGTATTTTTCCTTTACCCCTTTGAAACTTCCCGCTTATTGCCTTAAAGAGATAACTCTTTGTGAACAAGTAAACCTATTTTGAGTTATCAACAGTGTTTGGGTCCTTGGGAGCTCCGGTTTTCCTAAAGGAGGGCAAGAAGCAATCCCCTGGGGAAAGATGTCACGTCCATGCCTCTTTCACTAAGAGTTATAGGCCCCAGGCATGACGGCACACCAGTGATTCTGACCATGAAAGCCTTTGGCAATACAGCACCAAAACACATTTTTCCTGTTTTGCCGCATCCCCATAACATTCATGGCCTCCGTGTCCCAAATCTTCAGGTCATTCTTTATTGTGAGGATTTGAAAAGAGAGGCCATAATATGGTGGGTTAACTGGAAAGACATGTGTCGGCAGCTGATTGGCTGAGCATGCCAGGGGCCAGAGTTCTGATTGGCTGCTGTCTCTGGCTTGCTACTGAGACAAACGGTTTTAACTGTCACTTTCACTTTGGAGAGTGAAGAGAGCACTGACTGGAAACAGCCAAGAAGGAAATGGCTGCCAACTCTCTAAAGTCTAATCATTTTTAAGGCATGAAGTGTAGTTTAAAGACTGTTTAAAAGGACTGTTAATTCCCTCTGTTCTTTGTGTGAACTCAGAGAGACTGCTGTATATATTGTCGCCCTGTTTGACTTCTAAACTGAAGTAAAGATACTGTTACTTGTTACACAAGTCCGAGTGACACTTTATAAGTAGAAAGCTTCCTCCAGCCAAGTTGTGGAATTAAACTTCAGTTCACCCCAAACTCTGTGAAATTCATGGAATCACCATAGATTAATAGGAAACCTGAAGTACATACACACACACTGACTCGCATAAGTACTGGATTCCTTGACTCCTGGGTGCACCTACACTGTAGAATGAATGCAATTTCAGACCACTTTAACTACTGTGGCTTAATGCTATGAAATCCTGGAATTTGTAACTTGGTAAGGCACCAGCACTCATTGGCTGAGAAGGCTAAAGGCTTTGTAAAGCTAAAACTGCCATGATTCCATATTGCTAACCCATGGCAGTTCAATTGGTGTTAAACTGCATTCATTCTACAGTGTAGATGCACCCCTGGACTGCTTCAGGATTCTGCAGATCTGAAGTCTAGGACTTTGCTTGACCCTGGACTTGTTTGATCCTGGAGATGTTCTGCTTTAATGGCTGCTGATTTTTAACTCCATGGTCAGCTAATGACCTTCCAAACTTTGCACTGCAGCCTTCCTGGAGTTCTTCTCTCATCAAAACACTTTGCAATCAGAAAATGTACAACTGAACCTACAGCACCACCAGACAAAATGAATGTCCATTTTAACTGTATGAAACAAATCTCTCTCTCTCTCTCTCTCTCTCTCCCTCTTTTGGAAAGCTGATCACCTCCAGACTGTAGGGGAAATTACTGTACTCCAGCAGCTAGACTTTGTTTTATCTTTCCCTTGTACTGGATATATTTCAAAATGTTACTGTGGGAAATGGTTCTGTTCACACAGATATACAACTTATAGTAGGAACTTCCTAAATTCCATTCCTATGTGATTCACTAGTTTCCTCCTGAAACCCTCAGATGTAGATATCATTCATTCACAAAAGGTGAATGATGTTATTGTAGATTGCAGGAGTCAGCTAGGGACAACATTTTACATGCTATTTTTATTAAAATTCCAATCCTGACGGATACCTTCAACTCCAATGATCTCAGGTAGCAGGGATAGGAAAATAATCTGTGTCTGAAGCTCACATTTCATATTAGAAAAACATGTGGTCCCACTGCAGAAGTGGCTTCCATCACACACCCACATACATATACACCAGAAAAGAAAAAGAGTCATGGATCTGTACAAAATTTGCATGTGCTAGTTTATATGGATAGATACTTATTTACATAGAATTTCTTTTCTATAATTCAAATAAAATACAGTATATTTTGCTCTGGACAAGATACTGTTTGGAGCTAGTGGAGCATAAAGCACCACTCGAATATATTTGGGATAGGCTTCCCCTTCCACACTTGCATGCAACTTCATCTTCATTCAGTGTGGCACAAATACTAGCTAGGAAAGACAGAAAAATCTTGGGCACATCTGACTGCAGTTTTGAAGCTGGCGGTCCTGGAGAATAGAGTGGTAGCTTTTCCTTTTTCCCCATCTCTAACAATCTCATCAGATGGGATTTACTTTGATGGCATCAGCTTTAGTTGATCCATGGAGCCCACCAGTTCCCATCTCACAATGCAGATGAACTTCTGGCAGGGCTGCATGGGTCAACTAGGGCTGAACTGACGTATGCTGCCACTGCAGCAACATTGGAGGTTTCTCGTTTTGCACAGAAAGCAGTGGGGGAAGCTACATGGTTGATGCTTCCCCTGTGGGATCAGCTTTCTGGCAAGCCGGGCGATGCGGGACGTGGGGCGATGGGTTCCACACGTTCCCTGACAATGGTCACCTGATTCATCATGATGCATGCCAATTCTGGCAGCCTGTGTGAAAAGGTCATAAAAGTGAAGCTAAATGGTGCATAGGACCATGAGAATATGTCTCAGAAACTCAAGCTGAGATTGCATGTGCTGACAGGGATGCCATTGCACAAAGATGCATTAAATACCTCCTTTCGCAGAAATAAAAAGCACATCGCAAGAGATTACACAAATAAATGTCACCAACAGAATTTCAACCAATAAGTGGATCAAAGTGACTTGTGCGCCAGCTTAGTGTGCTGTTTAGGGGCTAAAGTCTAACTCTTTGTAAGCCCCTGAAAGGCTCCTGCTTGCCCTTCTTTTTATTGGTGTAAAATAGTTAGGTTTCCCCTAAGATCTTGGACACCCATTGCTGGCTAGAGCAAGTGGCACCAGATTGGACAGAGCCACAACCTCATCTGGGATAAGGCAGCTTCACAGGTATGTTCAGCCATCTCAAATTCAGGCATCTTTGTTGTCAATGTCATCAGTAATACAGCAAGGGAAAGGACTTACCTTACTTTGAAAGGTCCAATAAAGATAAAATCCTTTTGGATCTACACGGAGAATGACAGGAGAGGCATTTGTAGAATCCTAAGAACAAGAAAAGGTAACTAGATCAGAAATGTTAATTGATGTGATTCTTACTAAGAAAAAAAATCTGTCCATGATATGGAGTGGGTGAGAGCTACATCAATCCATTTGCTCCAAAGTATTAGTCTATGAACCAATAACATCTTATTTTTAAGGTCCATTGACTTTTAGACCAGGAAGAAGGCTTTTCCCCTCCAGTGAAACAGATACAATTGTTCCTGTAATAGTTTTGTGAAGGGAATCTTATACCATTCCTATTCTCACCTTTATCCTGCCTTAATTCAGTTATCACCAGAAGGTCCTTTCTTTTTTTATATACTGGGGTGACAAACTTTTTATCCCAAATATCCCAATATCACTATATCCCCGAATTATCCAGACAGTCATCCTCTTGTTGTCCCACTTCTTCAGCTGTGTACTTTCTCTTCTGCCCACTTTCTCCTTTGTCCTCATTTTTCCTCAGCTAATACAAAGGGAGTTCAAAGTGCAAAAGGAGTTTCCACTGCTCTTGCGCCACATCAGGGCAAAGAGAACTGGAAGGGCAGTATCTTTCCAGTGAATAATATAATAATTATTTTATTTTTATACCCCGCCACCATCTCCCCAAGGGGACTTGGGCGGCTTACATGGGGACAAGAACAAATCACAAATAAAGCAACAGCAATTAAAATTAGTCAAAAACATAACACAATACAACAACGACAACATAAAAGCAATATCATGGCTGAAAAGCAGAATCAGGGCTGGGTCCAGGCTCAAGTAAGTGCAGTGAAATTCCTAAATAGAGCCGTGGAGAATGCAAAATTCAAGTGTGCCAGTCTAGCAGGAGGACCTATGGCTATAAGGTGTTGAGATTAGTGGGGGAAAGACCAAACTAAAGTGCAGGAATTTTGATAGGGTTGAGCCAATTCTCTGGTAAAACTGCCTAAGTGAATAAACAAAGTGAACTGCTGTATCTTCTCCTACCTTATATATTTTCCCTCACCCATTTTGCTATCTTGCTCATATTCTGCTGTTGCTTGGACATGTATATCCAGGTTTTCATTGATAAAATGTTAGAGGTTATGGAAATCACCCTGTGCCTCAGTTCCAAATAAGTATTTCCCTCCACCTACACTTGGCCTCAAGACTCTTGTAAAAGAGCCCAACAACCGAGAGTTGAAGGGTTGAAGTTATGCACAAAAGGATGTTGCATGAAGTCTTAAAGCAACCAATAATATTTACAGTAAAAGGAAAAATAACTTTGTTATCAGAACTCTAATGTAGCGATGTAAAGATAAGCTTGTCATGTTACCACTAGCTACAGCAGATAGGCAAACAGATACTTTATAATATAGATATTCAGAAATACTGACCTGCCCAGCACCATTCAGGATTATGTTCTAAAGCAGTGTTTCTCAACCTGGGGGTCAGGACCCCTGGAGAGGGGGTCGCGAGAGGGTGTCAGAGGGGTCACCAAAGACCATCAGAAAACACAGTATTTTCTGTTGGTCATCTGGGTTCTGTGTGGAGAGTTAGGTCCAATTCTATTGTTGGTGGGGTTCAGAATGCTCTTTGATTGTAAGTGAACTATAAATCCCAGCAAATACAGCTCCCAAATGTCAAGGTCTATTTTCCCCAAACTCTGCCAGTGTTCACATTTAGGCATATTGAGTATTCGTTCCAAGTTTGGTCCAGATCCAATTTGGTCCAGATCCCATTGTTGGAGTCCACAGTGTTCTCTGGATGTAGGTAACTCAAGGTCAATGCCCACCAAACCCTTCCAGTATTTTCTGTTGGTCATGGGAGTTCTGTGTGTCAAGATTGGTTCAGTTCCATCATTGGTGGAGTTCAGAATGCTCTTTGATTGAACTATAAATCCCAGCAACTACAACTCTCAAATGACAAAATCAATCCCCCCTCAACCCCACCAGTACTCAAATCTGGGTGTATTGGGTATTTGTGCCAAATGTGCTCCAGTGAAGGAAAATACATCCTGCATATCCGACAGTTACATTACGATTCATAACAGTAGCAAAATTACAGTTATGAAGCAGCAACAAAAATAATTTTATGGTTGGGGGTCACTACAACATGAGGATCTATATTAAGGGGTCACGGTATTAGGAAGGTTGAGAAACGCTGTTCTAAAGTGTGGCTTGTTTTAAAGCATGTATAGCCCAATGTAGCCATATAATACACTAGCCTAGACCTGAAAGGCAAAGATTATAGAATCTTAACAAGCACAAGGGACATCCAGTCAAACTACATGCTGCCATAATCAAAGCATTCCAGACAGATGGCCATCCAATTTCTGTTTAAAATCCTCCAGGGACAGATATTCCACCACACTCCAAGCGACATTTTCCACTGTCAAACAGCACTTACAATGTCAATTTGGATTTTGATATTGTCCTCTGGGGTATTAGCTATACCTCTCAATTTGGTGTCACCTGCTAATTTGATAAGTATACCTTCTATTTCATTGTCCACAACTTTAATAAAGATGTTGAATAGCACTAGGCCCAGGAAAGAACCCTGTGACACCCCACTGATCACTTCTCTCCAGCACATAGAGAAGCCATTGTAGGTTCAGTCAGTTAATCAATTCCCAACATAGCAATAGCACTGTCTGGACCACCACATCGCTGAACCTTGAACCCCAGGTGTCGTCGGTGACCAGGGGGGCATTCGCACAACTAAGACTTGTGTGCCAACTACACCCATACCTTGGGAAGTCTGACTTGGCCATGGTAGTTCACATTCTTGTTACATCCCATTTAGACTATTGCAATGTGCTGTATCTGGGGTTGCCTTCGAAGACTATTCAGAAGCTTCAAATAGTCCAACATGCTGCAGCCATGATATTAACTGAGGTGTCGCACAGGAGCATACAACCCCTCTGTTGCGGTAACTCCACTGGCTGTCTAATAGCTACCGAGCACGATTCAAAGTGCTGGCCTTAGCCTATAAATCCTTAAACGGCTCTGGTCCAACTTGCCTGTCCGAACACATCTCCCTCTATGAACCAGTTTGTAGATTAAGATCTTCCAGGGAGGTCCTGCTCTCAGCCCCACCGGCCTCACAGGTGCAGCTGGTGGGGACTAGGGACAGGGCCTTCTTGGTGGTGGCCCTACAGCTATGGAACTCCCTCCCGAGTATGGCTGTGTTCAAGCAGCATTTTCTCCTGATGCTTCGCCTGATCTGTGACTGGCATTTTTAAAATTATCTACAATATTTGTATCCCGCCTTTCTCCCCCTAGAGGGGACTCAAAGAGGCCCTGCAACAGGCAGCAATTTGATGCCATACATACATGTATCAGATAAACAATTACAATTAAGACCAAACAGTTAAAACATGAATAATTAAAAACATCAATTAAAATCTTCAGTGATGCAGGCTATAGATGCAGGCAAAAAGTCAGGAGAAAATGCTGCTAGAACATGGCCATGCAGCCACAAACCACACAACACCCAGTGAGTCCAGCCGTGAAAGCCTTCGACAAGGTTTATGCACTTCAGCTGAATTTATAAGTGTGTGTCATGAGATGAACATACTTAATTGCAAACACTTCCAATAAATAGAAGCATCAAACTAATAGCTGTAGGCCATGTTTATCAGCCATTTACTCCAGACAGTCAAGACTAGGTTGGCAATGCTCACTCAGAGGACTTTTTCCTTCCGCTGCACACACACTTTAAAATGAACCACTGGAAGAAACTTGACAGCTGGGTTTGAAACAGCACTAAAGACCAATCACTTCCAGCAGGCTTATCCAGATGAGTATGAATTGGGTGTTTTCATTGCTTTTTCATTGCACCTTTTGCTGAATATGTATTTTAATTGGTGGTATATACAGTATTTTGTTGTATTTTGATCTGTTATTTACCACCTTTATGCATTGGGAGAAGCAGGTAAGAAATACTATCATTATCATCATCATCATACACAGTGAATCATGACTATGGCTAACTTTGAGAAAAGTTTTTATAGGTCATTTTTCCACTGTTATTCTGTATTTTTTTCAATCTTTATACCGAATGGAAAGGCAAAGCAAATGTTTATTAAAAAAGAAAGCACTTGGGATGCCTTTCAAGGAATAAGAACAATTTATATTCACAAAAAAAAAAACAACCTTGCATGAACCTAGGCATGAACAAGGAAAAACTTTGCATGAAAAGTTCTTCAATGTCTTAAAAACTTAACAGATGGATAAATATATCCTTTTTTAAAATGCCATAAGCTTTTCTGTTTTAGCAGAAATGCCTTAACATAGCTATTCCCTCTGGTAATCACAACTATATAATCAGTGAGTAGCGTTTCCTCTCTCCTAGTCTCCACCTTTGGCTTTCCACCATGGGTCCCACAAAGAAGCATGTACATGTTGTCCTCAAACAAATATCCCCCCCCCCCCGCCTTTTACGTACACATTTCAGTGGGATATCCAGAGCCATCTATGGCAAGACCCCCGTCCCCCAAAAAACCCAAGGCAGATTATTACCACTGCTTTTAAGTCAGCCTTTCTCAACCTGGGGGTTGGGACCCCTGGGGGATCGTAAGGGAGTGTCAGACGGGGTTGACAAAGACCATCAGAAAACACAGTATTTTCTGTTGGGTCATGGGGGTTCTGTGTGGGAAGTTTGGCCAAATTCTATTGTTGGTGGGGTTCAGAATGCTCTTTGACTGTAGCAACTACAACTCCCAAATGTCAAGGTCTATTTCCTCCAAACTCACTAGTGTTCACACCTGGGTGTATTGAGTATCCATACCAAGTTTGGTCTAGATCCATCATTGTTTGAGTCCACAGTGCTCTCTGGATGTACGTGAACTACAACTCCCAAACTCAAGATCAATACCCACTAAACCCTTCCAGTATTTTCTGTTCATCATGGGAGTTCTGTGTGCCAAGTTTGGTTCAATTCCATTGTTTGTGGAGTTCAGAATGTTCTTTGATTGTAAGTGAACTATAAATACCAGCAACTACAACTCCCAAATGACAAAATCAATTCTCCTTCCCCCTAACCCCAGCAGTATTCACATGTGGGCGTTTCGGGTATTTGTGCCAAATTTGGTCCAGGGAATGAAAACACACCCTGCATATCAGATATTTACATTACAATTCATAACAGTAGCAAAATTACACTTATGAAGTAGCAACAAAAATGATGTTATGGTTGGGGGTCCCCACAACACGAGTAACTGTATTAAGGGGTCATGGCATTAGGAAGGTTGAGAAACACTGTTCTAAATCAAGAGCAGACACTAAGGCAAAACAAAAATTAGATACTCACATCATCCCACTTGATGAAGCGTTCACCCTTGGTCATGTACTCCTTCACCTCTGGGCGAGTCAGGATAGGTGAGAGCACCGACATTTTGGCGTCCAAGTCTTTCCCCTCAATTGGGGGAGGGGGCTTCTCTTGTTATTGGCTGCCTCCTTGTGACCTTCCTCTTCCTCTTACATACTGTTCTCTGCCACTTCAAGGACCAATGGCACTTTATAGAGCAAGGAAAATGCTGGAATGGCTCCAAAAGACGGAGGCAGGGCCCTTGATCTGCATGGCAAATGATCAGCTTTCCAAAACAAACGGGTGAAATCTATCCGTGCAATCCAGAGAGATTGTAGGGTGAGCGAACAAAGAGCTGGGTGATAGCCTGCTCCTTAACACTGCAGAAACTCACAACTGAAGGCTTCCTGTTATCAACTTCCTCATATGTGCTTCTGCTTCTCCAACCAGCTGATTCATAAAGTGTTTCAAAAGGGAAAAAGGAATTACAAAATTCAGAAGTTGCCATTTCAGTATCACCTCCTGTCTCACAATTCAAGTAAAAAATATTATTTACACATCACTCAGATGCACAGGCACCTTTCCAAGAAAAATGAGTCTACAAATGGAAAATGACTCTATCCTTACAAACATATATATCTCTATATAGTGTTGAAAACTTTCAAATAATTTAAAATAACACGACAATAGGAATAGTAACCAAATCATCCATGTGTGTAAGTGAAATGAAAGGCCTGCATGAGCCAGAATGTACTGTTTAATTAAACATGGCTCTGTTGGGGCTTTCAGTCTGAGGTCCTTTCTACACTGCCATATAATCCAGATTATCAAAGCAGATAATATGGATTTTGTTCAATCTGGATTTTATATGGCAGTGTAGAAGGAGCCTGAGATTGTTTTATTGGTTTGAAGAACAAATGCGTATATTATTTATTGTACCAAGGAATCTAAACATGTTTTCTCAAAGTGGTATTTATTAACAACAACAACACTTAATTTGTATTCCGCCCTATTTCCCTGAGGGGACTCAGAGCAGATTCCAGCATATATAAAGACACAGGAAAACGTTCAATGCCTTTGAAACACAATAAAACACAAATTCACAGACAAAGGCAAAACTTCCCTTTTCATCTCCAGCTCTGGAAGTGGTGCTCATCTCTGGCTCTGGGGGAGGTGCTAATCTCAATTTTCAAACCAAGGAGCCTGCATTGGCTATAAACACCTCCTGGTTACATAGCCAGCATGACTTCATGGGAAGCTGTTTTACCTTCTTGCTGAGTTGGTACCTATTGAACTACTTGCGGGGATGAGAGACAGGGCCTTCTCGGCAGTGGCTCCCCGTCTGTGGAACTCTCTCCCCAGGGACATCAGGTTGGCCACCTTCCTCCTGTCCTTTAGGAGAAAATTGAAGACTTGGCTTTGGGACCAGGCGTTTGATTAATGGATAGCGGCAAACTGGAAAGAAGAATTGGATACTGCTACATTGATTTAATCCCCAGACTTGGATTTGGTTTTAACTGGCATGATTAATGTATTTTTTAATGTTTTAATGTAATTGTTTATTATTTATATGATGATAGCATTGTTCGGTGCTTATATGAGGGTGCCCTGAGTCCCCTCCTTGGGGGAGAAGGGCAGGGTAAAAGTGTACAAAATAAATAAATAAATAAAATACTGACATTTATTATTATTATTATTATTATTATTATTATTAACTTTATTTGTACCCCGCTAGCATCTCCCGAAGGACTCGATGCGGCTTACACAGGCCGAAGCCTCAAACACAATACAGTAAAACATAACACACAATAACAAAGCAAATCAACAAAAGCAAAATAACGACAATGGCAATACATCAAAACATTATTAAAACTGGTTCGGCCGGCGCACTGGGGTACTAGGGTTAAAAGTGCTGAAGTGGCAGGAGGCACGTAGGTTTAAAAGTGCGGTGTGCAGCAACGGTTTGTTAAACTAAAGTGCTACTAGGACTTGGGTGGGGATTCCTAGTCTGGGAAAGCACATGTTTGCATGTTTTTGAAGTGTTAGGTTGGCAGGAGCGAGAGCTGACAGCGGGCGCTCACCCCATCCCGCGGCATCAAACTGCCAACCTTCTGATCCGCAAGTTCAGCAGCTCAACGGTTTAACCCCAAAATATTTCTCCAAAATATTGCATTTTCCCAAATGCAGCACTTTGTTTCTATCCAAGTGCAGTCCCTTTGTCTCTTAAATACTAGGATTTGTCACCAAGCGAGGCATCTTTTTAAATCCCACATTGAGTCCATTTTCTCGTTCAAATAATTCAGAGTAATCTTCTCTGTGATACAGTCCAGACATTCAGATTACCATAAGAAGAAAGTAATTTAAAAACACTTAGAATAAATACAGAAGTGTCTGTGTTTGTTTGCATGAAATATGCTAACTTGAAGGCATATAGCTTCTAATATGAGCCTATGTTCTTATTTGTTACTTAAGCCATATGTGTCCATTTGTCTCCAATGGTTATCCAAAAGCTAGGATTGGGTGTTCCTTATTACATACAACTTTAACTTTAAAATGCCTTGAACCAAAAACATAATTTTACCAATAGCTATACTTCAGTTCTTTGATAGAACAAATCAATAGCTTTAACTTTCTTGCACAAGCATTCTCCCTGTCCCACAGTGCTGCTAGGTAAAAGGTCTTGCAAGCAAAATACAAAGACCTTTCCTGTTTCTGCCAAAGCAAAGCTAAGTAACTCTTAGCTGCAGTAAATTTGATTTACTTTTGGAATCTTCTAGTGCACATGCTCTCCAATTAGAATGGTCATCATTTCCCAATTACAAAAATGCTTTTAATCAAGTGACAGGGCTGTATGTGCTACAAACATCTATTTATCTGGTATTTAGCTACAGTATTGTGGCATGGTCTGGTAGAGCAAGAGATCCATGTGATGACCCTCTCAAGTCAGCTGCAATTGTTAAAAATGATATGAAATTCAAAACATAGCAAAGTGTGGTGGAACAGGGAAGAGTCTCCTTCTCTGGAGGTTTGGAAACAGGTTGGATGGATGTCTGTTGGCAGTGCTTTGATTATGTGTTCCTGCATATCAGAGGATTAGCCCAGATGGACTTTATGATCTCTTCCAACTCTGATTCCATGATTCTAAGAAAAAAAAAGAATTAAAGGGCCAGATTTGCATAATTAATGTGCAAATTAAATGCCTGGGTAAAGAAGTGGACTAAGGCAAGCCTTTCTCAGGTCCTGCTGTTAGCCCCAGCTTCTGCCAACCTATTAGTTCGAAAACATGCAAATGTGAGTAGATCTATAGGTACCACTCCAGCGGGAAGGTAAAGGCACTCCATGCAGTCATGCCAGCCACATGACCTTGGAATTGTCTACAGACAACGCCGGCTCTTCGGCTTAGAAATAGAGATGAGCACCAACCCCCAGAGTTGGACAAAACTGGACTTAATGTAAGGGGAAAACCTTTACCTTTTTCTAGGAGGCAAGTTTTCAGTGTCACAAGGAAAGGGTCTTAAGTGACTGAATAGTGGTGGTATTATCTCTTTTCTTTTCGATGATGTCTCTTAGCAGAAGCTGGGTTGCGATTTGTCAGGGATTCTGTAATAATGAATATCCTGCATTAGGAGAGGGTTCTGCTTTATGACCTTTGAGATACCTTCCAACTCTATGATTTGTATAAGAGGAATGAACTGAACTCACATGCAATTTGTAATAACATATTGGCCTTCTTTGAATAAATCAAATTTGCTATACAAAATATTTCTATAGACATAAACCAGGGTTTAGTAATAGTTCCTCTCTATGAAAAGCAGGTATTATTTTACCTCTAATCTCTGATTTGCAAAAACATAACACCAGATGCTCCAAAAGAGCAAGAGGGAAAAGGTGCATTTAGTGTGGAATTGACCTACTTCATCCACTTTGTATTGTCGAAGGCTTTCATGGCCGGAATCACTGGGTTGTTGTAGGTTTTCTGGGCTATATCACATGATGTCACCCCCTTTCTGTGTTAACCCATGGCAGACCATTTGGAAAGAATTACTTTTTATTAACACATACACAAAAATGGTTAACAACCTCACCCCACCCCCCATTTCTCTGCTATAATTTCCACCATGAATGTTCAGTTGCATCTTACGCTGATTTTGGATGATCAGTGTGTTATTGGTAGGAATGCTTTGAGTGCCTTGGATTTTTTTTATCAGCTGACAAAGTACGAACTTTCTTTTCTATGGAAACCAAAATGCAGTAGCAAATAGGACGTGTCAGAGAAGCCAACAAGGCAAAACTTAGTTCATTGCTCCCCTACCTGGCCTCCTTTTCCATCTGGAGTAGCATCTCTCTCTCTCTCTCTCTCTCTCTCTCTCTCTCTCTCTCTCTCTCTGTCACTCACTCATGCCAGGAATTGTAAGTGAAAAAGGGTCTTACATGAAGGATGACCATGGTTTTAGCTATATGGTTTTAACAGGTTTTAGCCATTTATGTATTTGTATGTTTATTTTGTTGTTGTTTAATGTGTTGTGTTTCATATATTTTATATTGCAATGTGGCACTGAAGTGGCCAATCTGTAAGTCACTCAGGGTGAGAAGTGCGGGGTATAAATCTGGGAAATAAATAAATAAATAATGTTTAAATTGTTGGATACAGAACGGAGAGGCCAAGTTCAAATCTCTGCTTTGCCAAGGGAATAAACCATGGCCCATCTACACTGCTGTATCATACAGTTTGACTGCATTGAATTGCGTTATGAGTGTATACACTACAATACAGTTTCAAACTGCATTATATGGCAGATGAGTCCTATGAGACATTACAACCTCTCAAATCACCTATTTTATGAAGTGTGGATTAGCAAAAAGAGGGAAACAATGTAAAGTGGGTGTTTACATTCCAGGAGCAGTGCAAATAAATAGATAGAAACAATAATAATACCAGTTTGCCATGCACACATCATTTTAGTGGCATCCTCATCAAATCAGGAACAAATCTTGCAGGGAAAAAAAATCTCATGATAGGGTTGATAGTTGAGTTGCCAGGGAAACAATTTGAAGGCACAAAGCAGCAGCAACAACAAAGATAGATGTTAGAGCATGTTGTATTTAACTGCGAGAGATTAACACAGCTATTGCTTTCAAAATGTAAAGGTATCCTTCGGCATAAGAAAAAAAAACACTATAAAAATAAGTGCCAACACAGTATAGCAGAAATGCTTCCTTGTTAGCACTATCCTTGGTCTTGTCCTCAGCAAAAATCCTTTCCACTTGTTGTAGTCAATGTTTTATTTTCTTGATAAAGTTTACATTACAGAGATGTATTTCTGTCTTATGCACATATCAATTAGAACATATATGACAACAGATCAAATGCCCACACCATGATC